CATCAACAACAAAAAAGGGCAGTAAAAAAAAAACACAGTTTGGGCCGGGCGTTGGTGGCGCATGCCTTTACTCCCAGCACTCGGGAGGCAGAGGCAGGTGGATCTCTGTGAGTTCGAGACCAGCCTGGTCTACAAGAGCTAGTTCCAGGACAGCCTCCAAAGCCACAGAGAAACCCTGTCTCGAAAAACAAAAACAAAAACAAAAACAAACAAACAAAAGAAACACAGTTTGGCTCTGAAACCAGAGCAAACTCTGCCCATGACCAACTGAACATGAAACCAACAAACCCTGAGCAGAAAACCAACCAATCCCCGAGCACAAAACCTAGCACCCTGACCCTGAACCCAGAGCCATTGAAAGAAACACTTTAGCCCTGAACCAAGAACCAAAGAAACACACGCTGATTCTGAAGCCAGAGGCAAAGAAATACATTTTGGCCCTAGAACCAGAGCCAGTGAAATAAATACACCTTAGCCTTGAAAATTGAGTCAAAAGGCTAAAACAGGCCAGTGAAAGAAATACAGTTTGGTCCTGAAACCAGAGCCAACTCTGCTCCTGATCAATTAAATCAACCAATCACTGAGCAGAAAAACTAACCAATCCCTGACCAGAAAATCTTCTCCCTGGGAAAACTCTGCCCTCAAGAAGCCATATGCAGTTGCAGGCTGTCCTTTCCCACCCTGGCAGAGGCAGCCATTCTCCTGGACTGCTCCTTCCCAAATAAATCTTGAGTTTTGAGTAAAGATCTTCTTTCACTGGTGTGGACCAGTCGAACCTTTGCTGAGACATTCCCTTGGTGGGGTAAGCAGAATAAACAGTTACATCTGCTGGGAAACTCCCTTAGGAATGGAGCAGGAAAAGCAACTTTTCACCGGAGCTGAGGAGATTGCTTTCTGCAGGAGTTTCTCGTCCCTTTTAGCAGAGTGAAGCAGAACATGTTGGGCTGGAGCTGAGCAGAGCAGAAGGAAAAATGGATAGTTCTGCTAGGACATTCCCTTAGGGGAACTGAGCAGAGCTCAGCTGTAACCGCTCTCTCTAGGAGAGGAACAGGATTGCCACACCCTACGGGAGACCGTCCCCCACTGCATCCCAGCTTCAGGTAGCCTGGCTTCCTGACAAGTTAGGATACCTTATTCAGCCTCCAGAGCTGTCCTATTGCAGCTCCCCAATATAGCCCGACTCTCCGACAAGTCAGGATACCTTTCCCTCCAGAGCTGTAACACTCACACTCGTTTGCACTTGTAACTCCAGTCCCAGCCGGTCTGCTGCCCTCTTCTGGCCTATCTATAAGTATCAGGAACACACATAGTGTGCATACATGTACACAGACAAAATACCCACATTAAAAATAAAAATAATAAATCTCTTTTTTAAAATAGTGAGTTTTGTTTCATATTTAGCATTTAAGCACAGGATGGATGGCCATTTGCCCAAATGTAAAGGGAGAGTGAGTGAACTAGACACACCTAAGTATTGGTCAGAACTCAGAAACACTCAGGCCTGTTAATAAGGTGTTTAATGACTCTATTACCACTAGGCAGAGTCCCATATTGTTAACAGTTACTTTTGTTGTTGCTGTGAGACCTGACAAAAGCAACTTTAAAAAGAAAGGGCTTGTTTTTAGCTCATTGTGTGAAGATACAAGTGGCTCGAAGGTAACCAGGCCAGGAAGGTGTGGTAGCAGAAACATGAAGCAGCTGGTGATGTTGCCTCTATTGGCAGCAAGGAGAAAGCAATGACTACCGGTGTGCTCAGCTCGCTTATTATTATTATTATTATTATTATTATTATTATTATTATTATTTATTATTCAGTCTAGGACCCCAGTCCATGAAATGATGCTGCCCACTTTTTTTTTTTAGGGTGGTTCTTCCCAACTCATTTAGTCCAATCTAGAAACTGTCTTATAGATGCCCAAACTTATTTTTGCTAGATGATTCTAGATCTGGTCAAGTTGACTGTATTAGCCTACGTCACAATTCCAAACCTGTCAACATGATACACAATGTGTGTGCCCAGCCTGTGTCTCCAGAAGACCATCTCTCATGTCCCTTTGCACCTCTGAGCTCACCGCAGAATGAAGCCTCCGAGTTTGTGTGGAAGAGAAAAGGAGAGTCTGGCTTAAGGGAAGCAAAACCAGGCAAGGTGTCCCTTTCAGGTGGGATTTGGTTACTAAGGGCCTGGAGTAGGGCAGTGGTGGGGAAGCAAAGGAGAAGTGGTTCCCAGAATTTGTGGGGGGCTATTTGGAAGTGGCTTCCGAAAAAGACATTTCTTTGGGACTTCCAAACTCCTGATTTGGATGACCACATAACCTTAACTGGGACAGTCACAGCATGGAACTAGAAGCAGTTTCAGGGAAAGAGGCAGATGTTGTCAGTTCAGGAGTTTGAGCTGCCTATGGTGAGCTTACACAGAGTCACAGCTGGCTTGATGAGTGCGTGGGTTTGGAGCCTGGAAATGACATCATTTCTAATCTGGATGCCTTTTAAGCCTGAAACACAATTATCCTGGAGTTCAGGGGAAGCCAGCATTTCCTGTTTCTCTTTCTTGGTATACTAGCTTGTGCTGTTAAGTGCACTGTTAAGTAAATTCCCAAGGATAGTTGAGAAGTACATCATAGCCCTTGAAATTCTGGGAATAGTTTTTGTTTTGTTTTGTTTTGTTTTATTTCCTTTAATCCAGTTGAGTGGAGTATAGAATTCCAAGTTCAAAACCATTCTCCACCTGAACTCCATTATTGACACCAGTCCTGGTTTATTGATCATCCATTCTGCCTCCTTCTGTTTGCCATTTTCAGCAATCAGGAATTTTCTTCTACTGCTTCCCTGATGATTCCTTTTGCTTTATCTTCCTAGAATTCATGTTTCTTGGATACTGTGCCTCTTACATTAGTGGTGTGTCTCTCCCTGTCCTGAGAGTGCAATCTTCATACTATTTTATATCTGATTATTTGGGTCTTGAATAAAGACCCAATTTTTTTTAAATGGCTGTTTTTTTTTTAAAAGGCTCTCATTTTTTGATATTAATAAAAGCCCTTTTCAATTTTCTGAAATGCCCTCTGGCATCTTTTAGGGACAGCCTTTATTACTAGCACTTGCTTCGGATCTCCTTAGTTCATCTGGTTTTCCTCTTCCATTTGTCCAATTGTTCTTAGTGATCCTTCAGTCATATTAAGAAGGGTCTAAGGCAGCGGTTCTCAACCTGTGGAGTGTGACCCCTCTAGGGGTCACCTAAGACCATCTGAAAACACATATTCCCCGGGGCCTTAGGAGCTGAGACACTGCTTCTTTATCCATCCCAGGCAGGTTCACCCAACTGAATCCCAGAGTCCCATCCAGTACCTGGAACTGTATGAAAGGGTCAAAGCATTGGGAAGGTTGAGAACCACTGGCCTAAGGAGTGGTGTTGTTTACACAGGACTGTTTTCATCCCGAGTTTCTCCTCAGAACGAGAGAGTATGTTAAAGTCTGTAAATATGGCATGTCAGGCCAGCAGAACTATTTTGGATTGAGACATAAGGCATAGGATATTTAGATTGTGTCCTCATGAATGTCACAATTGGAAACATATAATTTTTTGCATATAAATGCCTCACATCAATGCTAGAAATTGTGTTACATACTCATGGGAGAGCCTGTAGGTTCCTAGGCCAAGGATAAGCTCTATGTTCCGTGTGAAGGAAATGGCACTGAGTCCTAGGGATGCTGGCATGTACTTGTTTTCTGCTCCTGTTCCCATCCCTGCCACCTACAGCACACAGACTCTCAGCAGAGGCTCCCCCAGGCTTCCCAAACAGACTGAATTTTGCACTTCCCACAGAGCACACTTACAACATCTGGACCAAATGTTATATCTGCCACTTTCACCCAACAGCTTACTTTCACACTTTTTTTTATGTCTGCTAGAAAATTTTTGATACCTCATCTGCTAGTCATTGTACCTGTTGTCTTTGTAGATTGGATCTTTATTGTATCTCTATAATTTCATTTCAGAGGGCCTTTAGGAGAAACAAGATAGCATCTTGAGCCATAATTCACAATTTCATATAAAACTGCTTCTAAATTAAAAGTGTATATGAGTATGTGTATGATTCATCCTCTCAGTGAGTAAGTATATCTATATTCATAGACATTCCTTCATTTAATAGCTGTTTTGATAAGCAAATATTATTTTTCAGGTACTATAGACATATAGTTAAAAAGATATTGCCTGCCAAGTGGTGGTGGCGCATGCCTTTAATCTCAGCACTCGGGAGGCAGAGGCAGGCAGATGTCTGTGAGTTCAAGGCCAGCTTGGTCTACAAAGTGAGTGCCAAGACAGTCAGGACTGTTATACAGAGAAACTTGGTCTCAAAAAATGAAAACCAAAACCCCAAATCAAAAACTAACAGACAAGCAAACAAACAACCCCTCCCCAAACACAGTATCTTACAAATTAGAGGAACCACTTCAAGAGTCACCAGTATAAGGAGGAGACCAGAGCACTTCCTCCAGAGCTGAAGGGCAGAGCAGGATCCAAAGGGAACTGCTGGGGTCTAAGTGTGAGCTGGTCACCAGCTTGCAAAGGTAATGTAAGACATTCTGCCCTGTGCATCAGGTCAGGGGAAGAAAAGGATTTTGTCTAAAAGGCTGAACACACTTCCAAAGGATAATGCATTACCCAGGGGTAACTTCAACTAGGAGCCAGGATGATCCTTTAGCTTTGCCAACCACCTAGCAGGAGGCAGGCTCATGAGAAACACTAGCTGGGTTTTAGGACACAATGAAACTTGGCACACTTGGGTGTGCAGTGGGGATTAAGCCACCAAATTATTTCTGGTTATTATTGGGATTATTTATGGCATTTGTTGAGTAACAATCTAATAGGATTAGGTTTTGCTTGGACATTCCTTTATGCCAAAAAAATTCCATGCTTGTCCTATGACTTCAACTTTATAATTAAAGGTTATTGCCAGTTCAAGAAAAAAATAGGGAGAATTATTTTGATACATTCTACTTACTTCCTTTTTTAGCCAGTCATTCTCCCAGACCTCTCGATAGTTGCCCCTGTCGACAAACTTTACAGCGTTCTACAAGAAAAGTTTTGTATGGAGGAAGAGTTGTCATAAGGTGGTACACAATGTCAGCATTGGTGGGACAGGGTTTGTCTCCACCTTCGCTTTAATTTTGTTTTTAACCATATCCCCAGCCCGATATTTATAGTCTTACACACAAGACTTTTTATAGCAGATGACATTATTTCTTTGTGAGATGGTTTCATATGAATATCATGTTTCAAATCCAACATTCAGTTACTAAGGGACAAAACCTCTTTTTAAAGCATATTTTTAATTTTTAACATTTATTTATTTTATGATTTTGTGTGTATGAGTGTTTTGACTTCATATGCCTGCCTGGTACTGACAGAGGTCACAAGAGGGCACCAGATACCCTGAGACTAAAGTCACAGGTGACTTCGAGATGTCATGAGGTTTCTGGGAATCAAACCTCAGTCCTCACTTTAATCCCAGCAGTTGGGAGACAGAGCGGTCGGATCTCTGTGAGTTCGAGGCCAGCCTGGTCTCCAGAGTGAGTGCCAGGATAGGCTCCAAAGCTACACAGAGAAACCTGTCTCGAAAAACAAAAAAACAAAAAACAAAAAAACAAAAAAAAACAAAAAACAAAAAACAAACCTCGGTCCTCTGGGAGAGCAACAAGTACACCCAACCACTGAGCCAACTTTCTAACCCAAGGCAAAACCTTTTAAAAGGAGAAAAACTGAAAGAACATAGCAAACATGAAATAGGGGCTGAGGAATTGGCACATTTTGCAGTGCAAGCATGAGGGTCTGGGTTTAATTCCCAGCACTCACATAAAAAAAAAAAAAATGGATGTTGGTTCCAGGTGGCTTAGGGGGTAAAAGCACATTCTGCATTGGCTTGACAACCTGAGTTCCATCTCCAGAACCAACAGCAAGAAAGAATCAAATCCCCAAAGTTGTCTTCTGACCTCTATGTGTGTGCCTTAGCCCATGTGCACTCACACATAACTTCAAAACAAAACAAAACCAAACCCGGGGACATAGTGGTGTGTTTGCAGCCCCACTGCCTGGGAAACAGACAAGTGAGGGGGCCTGAGGCTCACCGGCAACACAGTGCAGTCTGTTGAGCTCCAGGCTAGTGAAAGCTACACCTGGCTTTCTAGTCAAAATCTTTAAAACACAGCGATGTAGAGTGCACTTTTCCAGGGTTAGATACATAGAGACTAGCATTTAGACAAATTTTACTTCATTCAAAACACTTAATATTTCACTATAGCCATATGGCAGAGAAAAAGACACTGGCTGGAAGGCCACACCTCCTAATCCTTCCCAACACTTCCACAGCCTGGGAACCAAGCATTCAAACACAGGAGTCTGTGGGGCCTCTCTCATTCAGCCCACCACATAAGGGTTCACTGTGTAGCTCTGGCTGGCCATCCTTAAACTCTTAGAGATCCACCTGCTTCTGCCGCCCAAGTGCCTGGCCTTGGGTACTTATTTGAAGATTTGTTTGTTTGCCAATGTCAGCCTTTCTTGCTGTAGTCAGGCTGGCTCCAAATGCAAAGGAGTGAGTGCTCCTGACTCAGCCTTCCGAGTGTGGGCTGGGCCACCACACCTGACCTCTAAATCTGTCATGGATTTGATTCCTTAAATGCTCAGCACCTTTGAAGGAGAAGGGTGGGGAGGAGTGAAGCTTGTCACACCACTGTGTCCAATTGCTTTTCAAATGCCAGCAGTTGCTGGTGTAACAATTAGCTATAGGTTGCCTGGTCTCCCTACTGGTAATGAGTTTTGAATGTGCCCAACATCCAAAAGAGAAAAAGCTCAAAACAATTAGACCAAAATTTGGATGGAAGCAGAGAGAAGATTAGGAAATGGGAGTTGGCTGGTTGTAAAATTGAGTGTGCAGACTCCATGGACCCAGAGACACCATTATCCATGGGATTGCTGCCCTCCAACATGGCAAAGTTGTATCATGCTAGAATTTCTTTCCCGTGTCAAGATCTGAAGTCATTTTTTCCTTTCTTGAATGTCTTCGTAATACCCAGTATAGAGTGTGGTTGTTCCGAATTGAAGATATTTTGTAAGCTGGCTGCTGCTCATCTGTGGATGCTTTCCTCCTTTGGATGTTTCAGAGAGGTTACAGCTACAATCTAAAAATTAGATTGTGGGTGTAACTTATCTTTCACCAAAGAAAACTTTTTTTTTTTTTTTAAAAAGATTTGTTTGTGACTAGGTCTACACCTCTGCACAGGTGTGGAGGTCAGAGGATACCTCTGGGGAGTCAGTATCCTTCCACCTTGTTTTTGAAGCAGGGTCTCTTGTTTCTGCCACTAGGCACAGGAGGCAATCCTACTTTCTCAACCTCTCTTCTCCTAGTAAGAGTGCTAGGATTACAAATGCATGCCCCAGCACTCAGGTTTTTAAGTAGGTCCCAGGGATAGAACTCAGGTCCCAGGTTTGTGTGGCTTCTACCCACTGGGCCATTTCTCCAGTCCTATTTATTAATGATAAAACAAAGAAGAAAAGTTTAAGCCTCCAAAGGTGCTTAGGGGTCACATAACCAGTGCTCCTTGGAAATGAAAATGGAGAACAATGGTGTAAGTCTACTTCAGAAAGAGGAGAGAGACAAAGCTACATAAGGGAGACCAGTTTTTCCTTCCCTCAACAGTTATGAAGCTCTTTAATCAAGATGTTGTTGAAGACACTGGCAATGTTGCTGATTAAGCCAGACAAAGACATCTGCCCTCAGCCACGCGCATTCTCAAGGGGAAGCCAGACTTCAAGTAAGAAAACTATTATTTCAGGTGGTGATGTGTGTGATAAAATCAAATCCTCTGTTTCAGATAAGAGGAGGTATTTGGGCAGAGTTTAGACAAGTGATATAGTCACCAATGAGGCAACTGTACTTCTCCAAATGACTTTCATGAGACAATAGTCAAATTCAGTTGTTCATAATAGAATCTATGAAGTATATCCCATACAATATGCAAGATGTTGAAAGTCAAGATGTGTTTTCCCATATGGATAATATTGGAAATCATGTTTGCTAGAGTTTTGGACAGATCCACAGAGCCTTTTTTAACTCACTAATTAAACAAGTATACCATACTAAGACGTCCGTAGACCCTAATTCAGGGCTCTGTGTCAAAGGGGAAATTTGCTTTTTTGTTGTTGTTGCATGTGAAGTATTTATTTTTTGGGAAAAAGGTTTTCCAGCAAATTATAACAAATTTTATCTTTGAAGCTTAGACAATCTTTTTAGCTTCATTTGCTTTTATTTTATTTTATGTTTTAAATTGAAATAGAATTTTATCACTTCTCCCTTTGCTTTCCTTCCTCAATCCCTTCCAGTTATCCTCTTTAACCCTCCTATGCTCCCACTCTCAAGTTGATATGATAGCCTCTTTTTCTTTGATTATATTTGTTGAACACACAGATGTGTATGTCCATGTATGTATGTATGTATGTATGTATGTATGTATGTTTTATGCATGTATATCTCCTGCTGAGCACATTTTCGTTGTTGGTAGGTATATGGTTTCAAGGCTGACCACTCTGCATTGAGCAACCAATAAGGGGGCTCATTCATGGGAGATGCTAATTCTCCTTCTCCCAACAGTCAATAGTTCTTTGTCTAGGGTGGAACTCTGTGAAATTGGGGGCATTTTCTTAACAGAGTGAGGCAGCTACAGCAGAACTCTGGGATCTTGGGCTGATGGAAAGGAAATGGGCAGATCTGATCCTCCAGCAGCTAAACTAAGAGTGCTACTAGGGCACCAGGAAGCTGAGCAAGTTATTCCATCCTCACCTGTACTTTGTATTTTATAGCACTTTCCCTATTAGATGAGACAGCTGAAAGTGAAATGACTCCTGGGTAGTTTTGTATGCCTTTCCCCCTGAACACAAGATATTTTGAAAAAAATATTTTGAAGAAAACTGAATGTGGTAAACTGCCAGCCATTGTTGGGCAGTGGTTGGAGACTTCAGCCCCTGAGTTATGGCAGCCAATAGTGGCTCTTCGGGGACAACTAAGGTAGAGAGGGGAGTGGAGGCAATTAAGAGAGGAAAGCTCAACCCAGTGGTACACAGGGGTCAGGAGAGGGCCTTTGATAGAGTTGAGTAAGATTGTGTGAGGTATAAAGAAGAGAGCTAGGCAGGTTTGATATCTGGGAAGTGAGAAACGGAGGAGGTCTGTGTCAGTCTAGATGGCATATGCTCATCCACAATGTGTCTTTTCTTCACTTTCACTTGGAGTATAATGAGTATTTAACTCTTCCAGTCCATCTCATATTTCTTTCTTTGATTCAGGCCCTAGCCCATCAGGTTAATGCTAATTGTTACTTTAATCTTTAAATTCAGTCATCTCAAAGTTGCTGTGGGTCAGAACTTTAGCTGTAATCTATTTTTCATTCTTAGCATCTGAAAGAAAATGTAATACCTGGAATTGGATAACATAGCAATTCTTTGCTATGAATTACCCAAAGTGGATAACCAAATATATTCTGAAATTACATTGCCATGTTAATACTAAAAAAGCAAAACTAACATGTTACCTTGTTCCAAACTTCAAATAGCACCCTATGGATTGCTTTTTCTTAAAAACAGAGTGGAGTGCACAGCACAAGGGCTATTGTGAAAACCTCCTGGCTGCTTTTTGTGATTCAGTTGGTGCTTCCTGTAGCCTGGACCCTTACTAACCACTTACTGTTGAAGGCAGCCAAAGAAAGCAGGGGAACCTGCTTGGAGAAGTCTGAGACACCACAAGTAGACACTTGAGAGACTGTTGAGTCTGTGTTTCAAGACTGTTGGCTGTTGAGCTGTCCAATGTATCGTGGCCACTTCTGAGAAGCTAACCCCAAACCATGCAGGCTAATGCTTGTTGGCCAACACTGTGCCTTCCAGCTGTCCCTGACTCTGCTTTGGTTTCATTACCCACTGCCTATAGGTGATTGTGGTGTGGTCTTTACTTATATGACTGATCCCGTCTCCAGCTCATGTCCAATCCCTGGTCCTCATTCTCAGTGAAGGCTGACTCTTCGGTCATCAGAGTGTTTGTATAGGTTCTTCAGAAGACTGTCTTTCCCCTTTCCTGTGGTACTGTATCTGTAGTTCTTTGATGCAGGGGACATAGCGTTCTTTGAAATTGGTAACAACTTTTCCTTTGGCCCTTGGTCCTCAGTACCCACCCACCTCCATGGCACCCAACTCAAGCACCACTGTTGTGGGAATTCATTCAGGCAATAGCTTTTGGGGTACCTGCCCTTTTGGGCGTGGTCTGAGGTGCTACATGTGGACTGATAAGCAGAGAGAAGTAGCATGCTCACTCTCTTGTGTGGTGATCTGAGATCTGATTGCAGCTTCCAGTACCTCTGGGAAGGACTATGAGGACTCTCTATCTTATTGTCATTTGTGAGTATTCCTCAAATAAATATTTGATATCCTCTTATTTCAGCTCTCTTGAACTCAATCACCCTAATCCCCATACAGCACCTCTGGTTTCTGTGGGCTCACAGCTGGTTTTCCTGTTTTAAATATGAATGATTTGGGGAGTGCCCTGGCTTTTCGTCTACTAACCACGGGCCTTCTGCTCATCATTTTATTGAATTTGAATGAACTCTGTTACAACTGACCTGACATTTTCTCTGCATTCTCTTTGACGGTTTTGATGTCATTTTGTAAGGAAATAATGAGTTGAGCATGCTGTTCACTCCCTACATTCTTGTACTCTTCCCAATATTCCTTTTCACTGAGTTTTTCAAGAAATAGTTTCTCAGCATCATTTATTTGTATGCGCATTTCTGTTGGAAAGAAAAACAAAACACATGTCATTTCCATCATCCTTGGAACCATTATATGGTACAGTCTGTTTTCACAGTTAAAGAATGATGGTAAAATGTAATTAACTCACAAATACTATAGTGTAATTTTAGGAAATCTAAACTATTAAAATTATTAGATGTCCCTCATGACAAATCAAAGTAAAATTAAACTTCTAACTCTAAAATAGATACATGGCTAAGACTATGCAAAGGAAGGATTATTTGTGCATAGGAACCCACAAACTTAAATCTATGGTTGTTTCAGCAGGGTCTCCATTTGCTCAAGTCTTCATGTCTTATGATGGCTTTGTGAAAATGAGTTTCTTTCAACTTTTTATTTTATGGTGTATGGATGTTTTGCCTAAATGTATGTCTGTGAACTACATGAATACCTGGTACCCGAGGAGGCCAGATGGCATCAGATCCTGGAGTAAGCCACCAAGTGGGTGCTGGGAATTGAATCTGGGTCCTCTGAAAAACACAGGCTCAACTGCTGAGCCAATTGTCTAGCACCCCCACACACACACACACACATACACACATACACACAATTTCTTACATCCTCTGAAAAACACAGGCTCAACTGCTGAGCCAATTGTCTAGCACCCCCCCCCACACACACACATACACACATACACACAATTTCTTACGTAGAGTGGCTTTTTCCAGTCATTAACACCTCTGGGAAAAGTGATTTCAAGTCCTTTGCAGAAGCTAACCTTGAACTTTTAATTTCCCTGACCCAAGTGCAAGGATTACAGGAATGCCACCAAGCTCAATTTTGACAGTCACTTTTATCAGTCAGTTGTTTGATTCGGTCATTTAAATTTACATTTTTGGCTTTTCTTTTGAGAAGCGCTAGCATATGACAGTCAGAAACATGTTTCCTCCCATTTTCCCACATTGTAATACTGCAGACTTCTCGGATTAAATACTCACAAATACTGAACTATTCAAACCTAAGCTTTTTGGCTTACCCTGGTGAACTTGCTAAGCATGATTCAGTTCATAGGCCCAAATATAACATTGCTGAAAGACTGTATGTGGGAAGCAGTGCTCAGAGCCATGTACAGTGGCTTGGCTCACCCCTCACACTGTCTTGTTGGAGAGTCTCTTGAAGGCAACTCTGTACTAATCATCCCTGCAAATCCAGCCTTCTTAGACCTGGAAATTAGCTGGTTGGCTCAGTAAATGTTTCTTTATGGGATGCCCTGAGTCCAGAGTTTTAAGGGACTCTGGGCATGGTTTCCCTAGATACACATAAGATCATAAATACCCTAAGCGGTGCCAGATGGGCAACTGTCCTCCTATTTGGCAGACTGCTACTATCTGAATCCTTGCTACCTTTTGCTCTTGAGGGGAGGACTGGTAGTTGTTGTTGAAGTTTTAGAGAGAGAGATGGAGATACAGGTTGGCTTGTTTTGACTCCCCTTCCCCCTTCCTTTCCTACCTAGTTGAATTTTATCCACTTGAAAATGTTCTAGCTAAAAGCTGGGAGGCAAAGGCTCCCACAGTGTCTCTCAGATCTTCCTGAGCACCAGAGATCCCCAGGAACTTGTGAATATGCAGATTCTGTGCCATCCAAGCACTAATCAGGCTTGGTTCTGCTTAGCTTCCAAGATCAGACTAGTTTAGGTGCGTTCAGGGTGGTATAGCCATAGCTTTCCACAGTTGAGGGCCATTGGTGGGGGCGTGGGTGGGGAAGGACTCAGTTTTCATTAAGGGCTGGCCACTGGGAGTTTGACCAAGCTCTAGTGAGTATATGAGCAACAGAAATTGAACTTTTTTTCCCCTTTGTCTTCTTTTTTGGGAAAGAAAGTCACAAGTGTGTGTGTGTGCACGCGTGCGCGGGGCGGGGGGGAAGGACAAACCTGGGAGGACTGGGAAGTGAGCGTAATCGGGGTACATAATGTGGAATTCCAAACAAAACTATTATGTGGGGAAAAAATGCAGATGCTGATTCAGAAGGCCTGGGCAGGATCTGAGAGTCATTGATTCCAAGAAGTTCCCTCATGACAAGGTTCCTCTCCAAGGGATTGCCTGGCATGCATGCAGCTGTCATATTAGTTCTTTCCTGAGGCAGCTGCTGTCTCTCTCCCTCCCTCTCTCTCTTCCTTGTCTCTGTGGCTTCTATAGAAGCTTCACATGTCTTGCCTTACCCCTACTCTAGTAAGACATCCAAATTGGCCCCTGCCCTGTTAGTATGTGTCCTGGTTGATGTTGTTGCTGCTGTTGCTATTGTTGTCTTCATGTCAACTTGACACATGCTAGAGTCATTTTGGAAGCGGGAACCTCAGTTGAGAAGATACCCCTACTGGACTGACCTGTGGGAAAGCAGGATAAATTTTCTTGATTGATGATTGATGTAGGAGGGCCCAGCCCATTGTGGATAGTATCACTACTGGGTTAGTAGTCCTGAGAAGGCAGGCTGAGCAAGCCACCAGGAGCAAGTCAGTGAGCAGCACTCTTTCATGGCCTCTGCTTCAGTTCCTGCCATGAGTTCCTGCCCTGACTTCCTTCAGTGATGGACTGTGAGCGCAGAGCTGTAAGCTATAATAAATGCTTTCCTCCCAATGTTGCTTTTCATCGTCATGTTTTATCACAGCAATAGAAACCCTGAGACAGCATGGCACCCCTGTGCCTCCATACTAACAGGTGCATCTCAACTGGAGCCGTTGCCAGAAAGTGGTTTAGCCAGAGCACCTGAGCAGCCATTGTAATGTCATTTGCCAACTCAAGGGATCATTGTCAAAGGGGTTTTGGAAATGTCAGCAAGAAGTGTTGGATTAAAGAAGAGATATAAGATACGTGCAGATCAAAACTACACGTGTGCTTTACCAGAAGGGTCACATGTTTCCAATAGTAAGAGTAGGTCTGTATCTTCTACTGCCATCCCCAGAATCATTTTCCTAATTCCGCTTTCCCCATTCTAAGCTCTCTTTCTGCAATCCAACATGGTGTTCATGATTATATTCACTTTGTCATGCCCAAATCTAAAGCAAAGAAAGGTAAAGCCAATGAAGCCCTTCAATAACAGAACTTCATAAAAAAGAACAACCCCCATGAGAGCTCAGAGCTCAGAACACCATTGGGGCTGGGACGCAGATGGATTCCATTCCTGGCCTTGCTCATTGCCCTAGTCCTCCTCCTCACATGGCCTCTGCCCACTTCATTCTTTCCTTCTCCTCTCTGCATCCCTGGAAGGACTGTGACTGCGGTAGAGATGATGTCATTGGAAATACAGTCACAACATTTTGAACGCATTTGGAAGACAAAGGCATTAAGTCACGAATGAAGGCAATATTCATGATCATTTCCCAAGTTCCTGACTCACCTTTCAAGTTTTTCTCCTGGTCTCTTTCAAACTGCCACTTTTCCTTCATTGCTTCTTCCACCTCCTCTCTTGTTATAGCTGGGACGCCCTCTGCCTTCTCCTCAGTCAGTTCTTTTAGGAGGTTTTTTACATGCCATTTCTGTTCATCTTTCAGGCGTCTATTCTGCCATAGAAAGCAACAGTAGTTAAAGACATCTGCTCAACTGTTTACACTGTTTACCCAGTGAGGCTTGCAAAGTGAGAAGAAATGTTTACTTAAATAGGTATACAGTGCTGCTTCCAAGAGCTTACAGGACATAAGATTCAAAATCAAATAACATCGATCAGTACAATAACCATCAATAGAATGCTGTATTTTAAAGAATATGCTACCAATATACCAGTTTATCACCCTCCCACAGGCTCCATGAACAATTAAGCCAATCTTGGAGCTAATTATTTTGAAACTCCCATCAGTCCTGTTCTTCTCTAGTCTCCCTACTTAGTCATCTACCACGTGCCAGGCTGTGTGCTGGGCACTTGAGTGGTATCATTAACAACATAGAAAAAGGTCTTGCTATTGTAGAAACTCAATTATTCTTCAATTTCATCACAAATGACCCTACTTCCTTCCTGTCTTTTTTTAAAAAAAAAATAATAAATTTATGGCACCATATGGTTGCTGGGAATTGAACACAGGACCTCTGGAAGAACAGTCAGTACTCTTAACCTCTGAGCCATCTCTCCAGCCACACCCCCTTCCTGTCTTTTAGGAAGATGGTTATTCACCATTCCAGACTTTACACTTGAAATAAAAGTTATTCTTGTGGGTGTCTGATCCACACCAACCTGCCCTATAGTAATTACCACTATGAGTAATTATGAGTCTTTTACAGTGAAGTCAGTGGCACCAGAAAATGACTTGAATTCTTGAGAAAAGACAGGGGTAGCAATATAAGTAATTGCATAGGTAAATGTGAAACTTATGTAATTCTACTTTTTGAAATTATTTTACTTGAAAAACTATGTAGAGCAATAAATATAAACTTACATTTCGTTACCAACTAACCAATCATAATTTGTAAAGTGTGTTTTGCATGATAAAGTATCTGAAGAGGGGGCTGGAGAGATGGCTCAGAGGTTAAGAACACTTGCTACTCTTCCAGAGGTCCTGAGTTCAATTCCCAGCAACCACATGGTGGCTCACAACCATCCATTATGAGATCTGGTGCCCTCTTCTGGTGTGCAGATATACATGGAAGCAGAATATTGTATGCGTAATAAATAAAATCTTTAAAAAAAAAGTATCTGAAGAGGGAGGGCATAGAGCAACAGCTTTGTATGCTGTAGAGATTGAGTTGGTATTAATTTTAACTAGATGACTATAAATTAGGATGTTAATTAGAATCCCCAAGAAAGTCACTAAGAAAATAAAATGTAGTAACAGAATAATAGTTAGAAGGGTCCATTAGAAAATATGTAACACAGCCCAGCGTTGGGGGCGCACGCCTTTAATCCCAGCACGAGGGAGGCAGAGGCAGGTGGATCTCTGTGAGTTCGAGGCCAGCCTGGTCTTCAAAGAGAGTTCCAGGACAGTCTCCAAACTTACAGAGAAACCCTGTCTCAAAAAACAGCAACAACAAAAAACACAAAAACAAAAACAAAACAACATAAAAGCTGTACCTTAAGACTCTGAAGATCTCCCCATGGAAGGCCTCACCCTCCCTGAGGAGCAGAAACGCTATGGGATAAGTAGGGTGTTAGTGGGGGGCAGGGGAGGAGGGGAGGGAGAGGGAACTGGGATTGACATGTAAAACAATCTTGTTTCTAATTTAAATTTTAAAAAATGGGGAAAAAAAGAAAACATGTAACACAAAAGACAGTAATGGAGGAAGAAAAGTAAGAACATGAAACAGAAAACTAAGAGCAAGAGGTGGATGTGGTAGCACACACCTATAATCCCAGCACTCGGACGGTAAAGGGAGGAAAGAGATGGCTCAGGGCTGACCTGTGCTTCCCTAACCACACCTGACTTAGGTACTGACCTGCGGAGCATGTGCACCAGCCCCTTTGGAGGCAGTTCATTCTTCTTCCCTGCATTGGATCACACCGTGTGGGCCCTCTAATTTACTGACAAGGCCTCTCTTCACTCTCACTGCCCACCTGTGCCTGCTTTAATTCTTGTGGCACAAGTACTGACCACTGTAACAACATCAGAGTCACGGGCATATTGCTAGAAGCTTGTCAAGTCCCATAGATCAGTGTGGAGTGGACAGGGGCTCTCATTTCACAAGAGGGAAACTGAGGCCGATGCCAAATTTTGCCAAAAGATATCACTAGAAAATTGTACAGTCAGAATGCAAACTCAGGACTCTGACACCGGGTTCCATGAAAATGTAAAGACACAGCTTTTAAAAACAAAACTGAAGTCTGGTATGGTGCACATGTATAATGTTAGCATTCAGGGGGCTGAGTCAGGAGAATCATGAGTTCAAGGCTAGGCTGGGTGGCAGAGTGAGATTCTTTATGGGGGTGGGGAATAAACAAAAAAAGCCAAATAAAACAATTAACTGTGGAAGTTTCCAGACCATACAAAGTCAATCAGTGAAGAAGGTCTGTCTTGGCTCTCCTTGTGGCTGTGAAGTCTGAGAGCATAACTTCAGCTCGTTATCATTTTCTGCTTACGGATATTATTTCTATATTGAAATATATATTAATATGAATAACCATCATCCCCTGGCTATTGGTATTAATCGTATTTTTAAAAACTTTTATATATGTATGTATGTATGTATGTATGTATGTAGTGTGTGTGTGTGTGTGTGTGTGTGTGTGTGTGTGTACATGCATGGACAAATGCCACAGAGCATATGTAGAGATCAGAGTACCATTTGTAAGAGTTGGTCACTCTGTCCACCATGTGGCTTCTGTGGAGCAAACTTGGGTTGCCAAGCTTGGTAGCAGGTGCTTTTACAACTGACTGAGCTGGTGACCCTTAAACCGACTTTTACAAAATAATCTGTAAGTATGCCGTTAGTAATTTTTTTTTTTCGAGACAGGGTTTCTCTGTGGCTTTTGGAGGCTGTCCTGGAACTAGCTCTTGTAGACCAGGCTGGTCTCGAACTCACAGAGATCCGCCTGCCTCTGCCTCCCGAGTGCTGGGATTAAAGGCGTGTGCCACCACCGCCCGGCGCCGTTAGTAATTTTAACAATTGGGATTATATGGTTCTAAATGCATTTACATATGCACACTCTGGGAAAAGCTGAAACTATGATTCAGAGACGGAAAAGAGAGAAGCAGTGTTTTACAGTCTGGATAAACAAGAAGTGCAAAGGTAAATGTGATTTCTAGGGTGTCCGTCCTCATGATCTAAGTAACATGATTGAGCTGACTTCCACTGGCATCTTCCACACCATGGGAACAGTAGTGCTTGTTTGTGCTTGCCTCACATGTATGTAGAAACCCAATAAATTCTAAGCCAGCTGATTCCAAGCACTGAAGGTACATTCCGTCATTGTCCCGGCACGCATGCTCAGTGCCTGCCCACCGTTCCAAGTCTCACTCACCCTGTCATGGTACCTCTGATTCTTATCCCTCAGCTTCTTGATATGAAACATGAATCGCTCCACTGCATTCTCCTTTATCTCACGGCTGAGAAGAAGCAAAGAAGCGTGGGTTAGTTACCTCAGGAAAAGACAGTGAGGCTACATTTTAATTTTAACCAAATTACCAAATCCCTTCAAAAGCTGATTTAGGGATAAGACTCTCCTCTATGAGATTTTGTCAGGCTTTTTTTTTTTTTTTTTTAGGTTTTTTTTTGGGGGGGGGGTCCTCACTATGTAGCCCTGGCTGACCTGGAACTCGCTGTTTAGACCACTTTGGCCTTGCACTCGGAGAGATCCTGCCCCTGGCTCCTGAGTGGTGGGATCTAAGGAAAGCTAGTGTTTTTCACTTTTTAAATTCATTAAAATATATATTGGGAAGACATTAAGCTTTTAAATGAAGCATTTTTATTTCACAGATGTAATTTATGTTTTAATTCTCTATAATCCTGCTTAAAGAAAACCTAGGAGGGAGCACACAGAAAACATGCTTTCAATTCTATATATTCTTATCCAGAGATGCATCTAGAGTTCTAAAAGCATTCAGACAAAAAAAAAAAAAAAAAAAAAAAAAAAAAAAAAAAAAAAAACCAAGAAACTCCAAGATTGTCCAAGGCAAGCACATCTTGGACTAACTAGGGTAACATAGGCATGCCCACCAATTCATGCTTGTTAGTGTGTGTTCTTTTCTGTGGATTAAAGCTTCCCTGCCACAAAGCATTTCTTTAGCACTCAGTATGTATTTGCTGACCATCGGCCCATGTGAAAAACAGAGAAGGAAGGGCACAGGCACAGGCACAGGGCATTGATGACTGTTTCAAGAGCTGTGTATTCCATATTTCTGGAAGAGAGTAAATCTTGGAACTCTGAGTCTGAAATTGGAGTGAGGCTTCAACCTCACTTCATCCAAACTCCTGTTTCAGTTAAAAAGAACAGTTTTAAATCTTGCTTCTTACCATTTCTTGCCTCCTTGGACACAGGCAAATCAAATCTCAGAACCGAAAATTTCAGGCTGTCAGATAAAGAAGCCACACCCAGCTCAATGTATTGCTATGTGGAATAAATCAAGAAATCACACCTGAAGGGTGCCCTCAAAGAGAGCTCATAAATTCTTGTTGAATCTGACATATTCTCAGCACTTTCTCCAAAATATCACTTATATTTATGACCTTGTATACTTTAGGGGAGAGAAAACTAAGGCTCCTTCCTTCCACAAGACAAGAAAATCTGAAATAAAAGTTAGCTAATCATACAGTGGCCCTGCAAAAAAAAAGATGTCAGAGTTTGAATTCCAAGAACACTGGTTTCTCTCTGATTTCCCATTGCCTGAATAGTACACATAACTGCTTTTGATCTTAGCTTAGTCTTCTGTGAAAAAAAAAAAAAAAGATTAGGAATGGTAAGATGGCCGGCTGACATGCTGGATGCCAAGACTGACAGCCTCAGTTTGATCCTAAGACCGCGCTCACATGCTCACACCCATACACACACACACACACACACACACACACACACACACAGACGCACACACGCACACATACACGCTAAATCAATGTCTAAAAACATCAAAGGAGATGAACTCCATTCTACCCTACAGGAAAAAGAAAGCCTCTGGCTAAATACAGTTTTTGCTTCTGATAAAAGAAGTAATTATCAGTGGCTTAGGCCTTTAATCCCAACACTCGGGAGAGGCAGAGGCAGGCGGATCTCTGTGAGTTCCAGAACAACCTGATCTACAAGAGCTAGTTTCAGGACAGCCTCCAAAGCCACAGAGAAACCCTGTCTCAAACAGAGAGAGAGAGAGAGAGAGAGAGAGAGAGAGAGAGAGAGAGAGAGAGGCAATTTCTCTCCAGCCTTGTTTCCTGGTGCTCATGTGTGTGTGCATGTGCGTGTGCGTGTAAGCGCCAGAAGCCTGGACCTTATTCATATTACACAAATGATTGACTACTGAGCTATACGTCCAGCTTTCTAGCTCTCATTTTTATGGATAAAAATAAAAATATTATAAATAAAAGTTATCGGAACTGTACAGGGTACTCGCATGATTTCTGATCATGGGAATACACTTGAATAGGGTGACTCCATGGCTACAGTTAAGAACCTTCTTTGGTGATGACTGAACACTCAGTGAGCAGACCAGAGACTACATCCACCCCAACCCACATCCTTTTAAGATACTAAAAATGTTCTTTGTTTATCTGCAATTCTAATTTAATTATCAGCTTGTATTTTTATTTGTTACATCTGAAGATGCTTGCAGCCTCTACCCTCTGAGCATTTAGGAGCAAATGGCTGAGGGTTTGCTGTCCTGCTCATCCTGGGTGAGCAGTGTTGAAGACTGATTACTAGCCCAAGTTCTTAGAGAATTCCTAACTGTTTTCTGCTTCCCTGACCGCCTTATGTGGGTCTAACTGACTTCCCTTGGCTTTCTGAAGAGGTGGGTTTACCGGGAAGCATTGAAACTTAACTTAAGAACTCCACACTCTTGGCTGTTATGTGGAATTGCCTTGTTGTTTTCTAATTTTTTCCCTTTTTATATGTTCCCCAACCAATGCCTTAGCATATTATATATCATGCTGAAAGCAGAAGCAGGTAGGATGATAAACCCATACATATTACAGTGATTTTTGTTTTCAAGAACTTGCTCTGTAGATCAAGCTGGCTTGAACTCAGAGATCCATTTGCCTCTGCCTCCAGAGTGCTGGGACTAAAGGCGTGCACTACTATGTCTGTCTTCTACAGTAATCTTAAAAGGGTTCAGTGCTATTACAAAGCACAGTGGTTTTATGCGCCATCTCCCTCCAATACAGTTAAATGTTACTGGTATACAGATATCTCCTTCCATGTAGTATCATTGAAAATTTGAGGATGAAAACAAACTTTAAAAAAGACTTATTTATTTTTATTTTATGTGTATGGGTATTTTGCCTGCAAGCATGTCTGTGCACCACTTGTAAGCCTGACACCCATGGAGATCAGAAGGAGGAGTCGGATCCCCTGGAACTGGAGTTACGGATGATTGTAAGCCACCATTTGGGTGCTAGAAATAAAGACTGGGTTCTCTGGAAGAACAGGAGATGCTCTTAATTGGGTGCTAGAAATAAAGACTGGGTTCTCTGGAAGAACAGGAGATGCTCCCAGAAATGGCTCCCAGAGCCATTTCTCCAGACCTAAGAAAAACAAAATTCTAAAGTATTGTATATTTCATCCAGGGTGTATTTAAAAATTACTGTGTAGAAATGAACAGTTTGAAACTAAATAAATACATCATTTTATTAATCTAACAAATCAGAAGACAAATTTGAATTTCAAAATTTTCTATACTTTTCTATACTTTTAAAAACAAATCATAATCACACCCAAAACTGTATTCAGCTACTTTCATTGTAGAAAGCCAAAGGAAAAGTGTAAGGGAGGAAAAAAAAAAAAAGATCACTAGAAACCATCACCTTATGGCATATCTAATATCAGCTCTTCAAAGAGTAACACCCCAGGGAAGCTCACAGCCTTATTGTTTTGCAGCCCTGTATACGTGGTTCTGCCTGATCCAGAGTCAGGGCTGCCGTAGCAGCTGCTTCTCCTGTACACTCACTAGTGGGTGGGAAAGCACATGGTTCCTGGCAGCCATTTCAACACTCAGCTGAGCACTTTAAACTTTTACTTCCTACACTGATAGGCAAAGCAAGGTCTTAGTGTTAACTCCATGAGTGTGATTTTTGCACACAGAAAAGACTCACCGGTGATTATTACTCAAGAAATACTGAGTTTACACTATGTACCAGCTATGCTGGGCATTGTGCAGACATAAAATTCAGTGTTCAGAATTTGTTAAAGAACCAATCAGAAATCACCTTCTAGTGATTTTCCTTCATTTCAGCTCTGTTTAAACTACCTGCTCCACATAAAAACAAACCTACAAAATACCCATTCAAATAAACTTTGGTTTCAAAGTTTTTATTGGTATTTTCTATTTTTTAAATCTATAACCATATGCATCCCTACTTCTCTGCCTATTTCTATACCCAATGTAGGAAAACTAGGTATAAAGGAGAAAATAAGGATCATTGCTCAGAGATGATAGCTACATAGATTTAGCAGAGAATCCTTTCTACAAACACAGCCACAAAATCTCATAGTCTCATTGTCCTTGGATAACATTTTTAATGTTCAGCTGCTCAGAAACCATGAATCATTATCTACTGTGTGCTTACAGTTGTATTATGACATGGGACAGATGGAGAAATACAAGATGCTGCCTGGGCAGTCCTTTCTTAGGTGGTGAAAGGTGATGTGGCTACTTGCCATGTGACAAAAGTTCTGCTGCAGGGAACACCCAAAATAAGCAAAGGGTCACCAGTAGAGCGTGGGCCAGCAAGCCTTTGGCTGTTATCATCCATGGGATTATTTATTTCATTTTTGACACATTACAGAGAACACAAACATGGGAATTGTCATTTTATGTCAATCACAAGCTCATGAAAAACTTGTAGCATTTCTCTCTGTGTAAACCTCTGCTAAAGAGGGAAAGACTACCCAGTGTCCACACCAAGGAGAGAGAGAGCTGCAACTGGGTGTTATCCCAAAACCACAGAGCATGTGAGAGACCAGGCTGTGTTCACAGAGCCTTACTTCTACACTGCTTGCAGGAGAAGAAAGATCAAAGTTACATGAGGGTGGTGCATTGTCATTACCTTTTCCCAGGAGTTGTTTCTTTGCTAGAATTCTCACCCCTTACTCTCTGCTTTCTAAACCAGATGAGAACACAGGTGAGAGTTTCTGTAGGAGAATTTTCCCTGATTTTTCTTTACTTCTTCTTCTTCTTCTTCTTTTTTTTTTTTTTTTTTTTTTTTGTTTTTTTTTTTTTTGGTTTTTCGAGACAGGGTTTCTCTGTGTAGCTTTGGAGCCTATCCTGGCACTCGCTCTGGAGACCAGGCTGGCTTTGAACTCACAGAGATCTGCCTGCCTCTGCCGCCTACCTCTGCCTCCTGAGTGTTGGGATTAAAGGCATGTGCCACCAATGCCTGGTGTGCAAAACAATTTTCTTCAAACAGGCTTAGTCATCAGTATCACAGCCTCCCGTCCCCCACCTTTCAACCTTGGATCCCTCCAATGAGTGAATCCCTTTCATAATCTCGGTGCTCTGCTTGCACTGGCCCTTACACCAGCTGAGTCTGCCCTCTGTCCCTCATTCTGATGTCTGCTATCTCCTGAAAATGATATGCCTTTTCACACCCTGGTGTCTTTCCATAAGCCATATTCTTCCACTCCTCTCCCCAGTGCTGTCTTCTTCAAGAGAGCAACTCACATGGCTTTTCCAAACCCTCTGACTAGGTCAAGTCCTTTTCTCCCTCTCTACATGTCTCCCCCATGCTTCATCATAGCAGGGACCATGTGGTCCCGCTTACTGCTGTACTCTGGGCCCAGCACTTGGCATACATGAGAAACATGCAAATATTTGTTGAATGAAAACACAAATGATTTCATTCTTTTTTGGAAATTTACTAACACTTTTCCATGGATTCCCTTTTAAAAATTACACATTAGAACACCTATCCAGTGCCAAAACTTAATGTTCATAAGCTCTCAAGAGGCTATTTGTTGAAATAAAACATCTCCAGCTCCTGGGAGTGAGACACCATGAAATGTTCTCATTATTAAAAGTAATTCTTAAGCCAGGAGTTATGGCACATGCCTGTAATTCCAAAACTTAAGAGACAGAGGCAGGAAGATTATCACTGAAGTAGAAAGATTGTCACAAGTTCAAGGACAGAGATTTCACCTCAAAAAACAAACAAAACAAGGTAGACAGTGACTGAGGAATGACAGCCAAGGTTGTCATCTTGATAACACACACACACACACACACACACACACACACACACACACACACACTCCTCTAAACCGCTTAGATTTGACATGTAGTTATTTAGAAATAATACAAGCTGGAATACTAAGAAATAGAAAGGTAAATAAAGGGAAATGCCACCAGGTGTTAGTGGCACATACCTTTAATCCCAACACTCGGGAGGCAGAGGCAGGTGGATCTCTGTGAGTTCGAGGCCAGCCTGGTCTCCAGAGCGAGTGCCAGGATAGGCTCCAAAGTTACACAGAGAAACCCTGTCTCGAGAAACCAAAAATTAAATAAATAAATAAATAAATAATAAATAAATAAATGGAAATGTCTGCCCTTACTCTCAGTTGACACTACTCCACAATGCGTTTTAAGAGGCGAGCCAGCTGGCTGTTGTTTGTGTGAAAAAGGACACACAACACAATGGAGGGAGCCAAACCACATCAAGGAGTGCCATTTCATGGATACCACTTGGCCTATGCACACAGCACAAGAGTATAGCATCTCTAATCCATCACAATTTTTTTGGCAATGCTTAGCTACATCACCGGCATGGGCAGTCACTTGTCTTCACAATGACTATGTCTGCACAGGGCCATTTTCAGATTCAGAATACAAACTTACTGATAGTCCAGAAGTGCTTCGCTCATAGGCAGCTTCCCATCTTTTGTTGTAATATCTTGAGCCTCCTTTTTACCACCTTTCGCTGAGCTGTCCATGGTTCTGGTTGGCCACTAAGAATATACCTAAATAGCAAACAGACGTAAGAAAAGTGAGCCAGCTCCATCTTGGCCCCGTCTACTTGTGATGAGTCTCAAAAACCACCACTGGGGTTATCCTGTCCTGGCTGCTTCTTGAACCCAGATCTAGCATCATCCACAAGGCTGGAGAACTGTCAAGCAGCATTGTCCATCATTCTTCTTAATGACCAAAGGCCTGACTTTCTTTCGCTCTTTATTTCTCCACAGTGTTCAGCAATGAGCACTGTGTGTTACAGCAGCTCCATAAATGTCTATTTTTAAAAATCCCACAAAGGAATTGAAAGATTGTAGGAGTCAGGGGTCAGGGGAACTGGGACAAAATAGTGTCTTCTGGACATGGCAGGCCCACTGAAGGAACCACAGCAGATTTGACTGCCTACAAAGGTCGAGTAAGCCAACATTCTAGCATGCTTGGTGAAGATAATCATGATCCCTCACCCAGCTAAGGAGCTCTTGACAGTCAATGGCTACTAGGGGAGGCTATTAGCTATGTGCCAGTGATGGCTCTACACTCACACATACATGGACAACACAAATTCGACTCAGTAGATTATAAGAAAAAAAGAGGACATTGAAATTGGGGGTAGGGGTAGGATTGGGAGGACAGGAGTGGACCATGGAGTTGTGAGTGAAATATGATCAAAACATATTGTATGTATTATATGCAAAGAATAAAAAAGTATATATTTTAAAAGGGTTTTTTCTTAAGAATCAAGATGCAAGGACATGAAAGAATTGTGTTTAGCCAGGGCTGTTGCTATACAAATCACAAATCACACTCTGAAATATTTCTTAGACACCCAAGAGATTTACAAATGCAAATAACTGTAATGATGTTGCATCATTAACTTTTCATAAGCCATAAATTCCCTTTATGTGAAATAATTAAGTTATTAATAATATATTTTTCTTTATTTATTCTTCTCTCCTATATTACATCCCAACCACAGTTTTCCCTCTCCTCTCCTCTCCTCCCAGTCCCTTCCCCACCTCCCTTCTCCCCCAGATCCACTGCTCCTCCATTTTCCGTCAGAAAAGGATGGGCCTCCCAGCTATATTAACTAAACATGGTATAATGTTAGAACAAGACTAGGCATATCCCTCATATTAAGGCTGGACAAGGCAGCCTAGGAGGAAGAAAAGGGTCCCAAAAGCAGGCAACAGAATCAGAGACAGCCCCTGCTCCCACTTTATATGAAATAATTAAATTATTGATAATTTTTTTTAAAAAAAGGAAAACCAAGACCCACTACTGGTCAATGTTGGAATGAAGTAGGATACTTGACGGGTTTGACTTAGGTACCAAGGTACACTTCTCAGAATGTAGCTTTCCCTAGAAGATTTTTTTAAATCTAATTTCCATTGCTTGTTATTAATGAATCTGTAGTTTGCTATGTTGGGAAACACAATGAGACTTGTTTATGTGGTTGGAACTTTATAGAGTGAGCCTGTGAAAATTCTTTCTCACCCTACAACAGACACAACAATTCTTGTTGAGTAAATACTTGGTTAGGTGGGACAATCAGGCAGACACATGTTTTAATCCTAGACCCCACCACTTACTTTTTATGTGATCTTCAGAAACTTACCCTTTTTCACTTCAGATTCCTCATCTCCCACACAATTGAGAATGACAGTGACTTTATTCCAAGGTCTGTGGTGAACTAGGTAATCAAAAATGTAAAGTACATGCATAGTGTCTCACATATATGAAGCGTAATAAGCCATATGTCTCTCTTCAGTTATAGATATATATTATCTTTCTTTAAATTACAGGCAGCTGTACAGCAGAAGGGGGTCTGTGTGCTACAGATTCCAATCCACAGAGTTCACTGTGGCCTGGCTTCAACAATGACTTGGGTCACAAATTGGCAGTCTGTGTAGATCTATATGGGTTGTCTAGATCCACAGTGAGAAAATGCTCTGAAATCAAAACATGCTATTCTCTATAGACTTGCTTCTCATACTCTCAGACTTCTAGCCATGTTTTCTTCATGTCTGAGTTTTGTAGACAAGTACACATCTAGGTAAAAAAGACTTACTAACAGTGTTTTTTTTTGTTTTGTTTTTTCATTTGAGACAAGGTCTCACTCTGTAGACTTAGCCTGTCCGGAACCTGTGGGAATCCTCCTGACTCAGCCTCTTGGGTGCTGAGATTATAAATGTGAGCAACCTACCATACTTGTCTTCTTTGTGACAACCATTTACAACAATTCAGTAAGCTCCACACCAAAAAATTATAACAACACAGTTTATGGAAAATTATCGGCTAAGAAAAATCTGCTCTCTTTGTTTCCAATGCCATGCTGAATTTTTATATCATTTTCTATCTTAAAATAAGAATTTTTATCTTTATACAAAAGCATGCTAATGTTTCATTTTAAAACAGTAACTTACTGTTCAATTCTTTTCTTACTCTACTATATTTTTTTTAAGTTGAAACAAATGTCAAGCCTAGTCTCTCTTTGTGAGTCATATGGAAAAGATCAAGTGTTATGGTCTCCTGCAGCATTGCCCATCTGGTGCTGGAGAAAACAGCGACCTCATCTTGTTCAATTACCTCAGTTACATGGCTGTTACAGTTTTAACCCTCTGAATGCATAATTAGTTACTTAACTGCAGCTAACCACAAAGGATTTTAATAAAATATGAGGGAAAATGTCAAGCCACTAAAGCATAAATGATTCATGCATAAACAGTACTATATTTGTCATTGTTTTGAAGGCTTTCAAGAAAATTAGCAAGACAATTGGACTGCTAATGGCAGTACCTCAAAAGGTACTTTTTTTGCATTTGATGATGCCCTGCAAACAGTGGGGATATTCATAAACACAATCACTGACCTCTTGAGGGTTTCTACCTCAGCAAAGGGCGAAAGACTAGTCACAAAGTGAATATTATCTCCAGGAAGGCTTCCTCCAGTATAATTCCTCACAAATGCATATCTAATCTGTTTTCGGTAACTGCAGACGTGTATTTAGTGGCTGCTTTGTGGATAGGATGCTAGCTGGTGGTTAAGTGTACAACAGAGAAGAAACAAGTTGGAGACTCAAGAGTTATAGGGAGAGGCGCACTCCAGAGGAGTGCACACAAAACAAGGAGCAACCTGAGAGAGACCACTAGAGTTATTCAAGGACCACACTCTCTGGTGGGCATCCAGAATGTAACGTCTGATGGGTATCCAGGATGAGACGCCTCTCATTCATTCATGAGCTCTTGCTTGCCTGGTAGAGTTTGGACAGCCTGGCTCATAAGACTTGGGTCTCCAGGCTCTCCTGAGCCTGGTATTTCATTTTACCATTGTTTTCCATGTCAGAAAGTGTTTCAAAACAACATTCCTCCAAGTGCTTCTTAGTGAAAAATAAAGCTTATGTAGTAAAAGTGGACACATGGTTATCTTCTAATAGACTGCTATCCTGTAATGTTTTAGCTTTGTAAAATCACCCCTAGACACAGAGTATATTCTTGTCTACACAGCCTCAGGGGTGGGGCTGAACACCTGGAGACACACTTCCTTTCATTGTCTCCGTTCTGCCCTAACACCTTTCTGGATGTAGGAAATGGCTCCTGAACTTGCTTGGCTAGTTCTCCATCAACACGGATTGAAATGAAAGATATGAACCTAATGTTATTAGCAATGACTAAAGTTCTGAGTGAGAGTCCATTGGGAGAGAAAACATGTAATTAAAAGATACTGGTTAAATATGACAATTGTCGTATTTGATTTGCAAGGAAAGCGACAGGTAAGCAGAAACAACATGGTTTTCTTTTTCGTTGCTGTGCCTTATGAACATGGTTTCTTCTCCCTTCCATTTCTGCAGCTAAATCTTATTGGTTCCACTCCTCCAGCTCTTTCCCTACCAACAATGAATTTGTCAACAAGAAAGACCTTATAGAAATGTACATTTCATCATGGCATACTCTTTCAGACATTTAGTTTTACAAGCAGCATTTGCCATATATATATATATATATATGTATGTATGTATGTATGTATGTATGTATGTATGCATGTATGTATGTATATTTATTATGTACAAAGTGTTCTGTCTGCATGTATGCCTGTAGGTCAGAAGACGGCACTAGATCTCATCACAGATGGTTCTGTTCCACCATGTGGTTGCTGGAAATTGAACTTAGTACCTCTGAAAGAGCAACCAGTGTTCTTAACCTCTGAGCCATCTCTCCAGCCCCCAGCAACCCTTTCAAATCTCCTTAATTAAAGGGGTAGGGGGCCTGTTTCGGAGACAGTTCTGGCCCAGCCAGCGGCTCTGTGATTAAGTAAACTCAAAATTAGCAGCAGTAACAGTAGGGACAATGCAGTGTGCTTCCTTTCAGGATCCCTATTAAATAAAGAGCCATTAAGAAGGCACAGAACTCATTACAACTGTGGCTGCAAAGCAATACACACATTTAAAAATATTCATAGTACTCATATAACTATAGTTCATTTAGTGTTGAAAAGTAACACTTCAGCAAGCATATGTCTTTGGGAATTCAAAAATATATGCTGGCCCATAAGCCATTTACATCCTGGCTGTTCCATAAACACTGAGGGGAATGAGTGGCCTGCAAACACACATTTTTTGCTTCCTTTACCTTCCTTCATTGCTAACAATGTGTGGGCTCTAAACTTGTAAAGTAAAATTGTTTAGGTATCTTTTTAAGAATTAGCATTTTGCATGAGTATGCAAGTTTGGTGTGCATGTGTGTTTGCATGGGTGTAGACGTGTGTGGGAGCTTGTGCATGTGTACATGTGTGGAGGCTGGAGTTTGACAGTGGGTGTCTTGTTCAGTTGCTCTCTGCCTTATATATCAAGGCAGGGTCTCCTACTTGAACCTACAGCTTGCTAATTCAGGTGGCCAGCTAGCCAGTGTATTCTGGGATCTGCCTTTGTCTCCCAGACATGAGGATCACAGACAAGTCACCATGCCTGCCTACCCAACATTTTTCTGGA